TAGAACTATTAACAAAGCACTTATATACTAATAAAGGACTGGCTTATCTAAAGCCAGTTGAGTAGCACTTAAAATGTTTTAGCTCTATGAAACCTGATGTACTTACTGTATATGATTCTGTTTTCTTCAAGTTTGTATTTTGTTTGTCGAACGCACTTATTGTAAGTCGCTTTGGATAAAAGCGTCAGCTAAATGCAATGTAATGTAATGTAACATTAACATTATATGAACAATGCAAATGTCCCATTTTCTTTGTATGGCACTTTAAAGTCTCTTTGTTGCACCTACATTTACACTAAAACACCTGGACCTTCCAGAAGTAGTTGGATCTTGTGCTGCTGTGTAGATGGCTGCTACAGATGCACACGCTGCGACGGAGATGTCCCGTGCCGTCCATGGATCGCTGCCGCCTGGCGCCGTTTTACTCGTCTACTCATGCGGAGCAGTCGAGTTCTCACTGTAGCTCTCTCCAGTAAATGACACGAGGCTGAGGTCTTGATTAAATACGGGGTTTATTCTTGTGGGACCTATTCCAACCCGCGAGAACTTGTAGGCTGCTAGTCATCTAGAGGGGCTGATAACTTTATATGCATTTTTCCCTTGGTTTCCTTAGTTTTCCTTTAACGTCCTGCGTTGCTCTGCCGTTGCAACTATCCAGTGCGTCGATTAAACAGGTGTAACACAAAACACAGCAGATTAGTTCCGCCTCTAATAATGTTGCACTTAAAAGGTAGGAACCAAAAATACAACGTGGAAACAAATGAACAACAGAAAGTGAAGACAGTACTTACTCTGCCATTTTGTTGAAAGGACAGTTTTGTAAATCCTGATATATATCCTCATTCCTTTTTTTCTTCCAAGGGTGATGTGGGTAAGGAGATGTACATCATTAAAGATGGCCAGCTGGCAGTGGTGGGGGAGGATGGAGTCACCCAGTTTGCTGTTCTGACATCAGGAAGCTGTTTCGGGGAAATCAGCATCTTGAACATCAGCGGCAGCAAGATGGGGAACCGTCGTACAGCTAACATCCGCAGTCTGGGATACTCAGACCTCTTCTGCCTTTCAAAACAAGACCTGATGGAGGCGCTTCAGGAGTTCCCCCATGCCAGGGCCCAGCTAGAGCAGAGGGGGCGGGACATCCTGCAGAAGGAGGGGCTTCTGGAGGAAGTGAATGTGTCTGCAGGGGAGGAGCTTGAAGAGAAGGTGGAGAGGCTGGAAACCAGTCTGGACCGGCTACAGGTCAGTTTACTACTTCCGCAGGTTTAATACTACGCTACAGCCACTACAATAATGCTGATTATTAACAATGACCCTGTTTTTCAGACGTGTTTGGCCCGTCTGCAGAGTGAGTTCAACTCTTCCCAGCTTCGACTAAAACAGCGGATCACAAACCTCGAAACCAACGTCACCACAGTGTGCACAGGCAGCGGCTTCCTGTCAGACGGAAACGAGAGTGTTTTCGGTGACGGTGTGCGCAGTGAAATCAACATCCGGCTCTGAAGGAGAGACTATGAAAATATGTGGAAATAGAACAAAGAATGTCACAAAATACTTACTGCGTTTTTTGTTAATTCGCAAATATGTATGTACATAAATGTGTGCGTTTACGTATTACGTTGGTTACTTAACTTTTTTAAATCAAACATTTACAAGTTTACACAATTTCTTCAAAGGAGTATGAGAACATATCTGTGTACTGTTTAATGTATTCTAATGCTACTAAATGTATCACTGCTTTGTGTCTCAACTTTTAAACTGCCAAAAAAGTTGCAGACACGCAATTAAGATAAATAAAGTAAAATAAATATTTGAATAACAAACATATTCAAACCAATACACTACTATGGAACTACTGGAAACTTTCCATGGGAATTAACAGGAATAAACGGGAATGAACTGGGAATTTTCAAAATTGAAGGTTGGCTCTTCAAAGGGAACTTAAATATAGTTGGAGAAAGTATATTTCAGCACAATCTTGACTAAAACAAACAGATGCCATTCAAGTACACTTGAATATCCATGCCATAGCACACTGCTTACTGCATTATTATTGAGACCACACCCCCTACAGGCACTGTGTATTCCTCCATCACATGCACAGATGATTTCGAGAAGACTGGATCACACTTTTGAGACCAAAGCCAGGGCCGGCCCTTGGCATAGGCAGTATAGGCGAATGTTAAGGGCGCATCAATCAATGGGGGGGCTCCGGAAAAAGAAAATGAAAAAAATATAAAAAAGTTAGAAATTAAAAAAATATTTGTTTTTTATTCATAACAACACAATTTCCCGATTTTGGATCAAGAAAGTACATCTTATACTAACAGAACTACGCCTATATTGCGTACAGTGTCCATAAACGATGGAGTTCTCCTCACACCACAGCTGTCTTGTGAGTGACCAGCGTTAGCAGTTAATGTTAGCTAACGTCAGTCACATCACAACATTGTAAAGTTAGCTATCATATATCAGGCTATAACTAAAGTAGTATTAATAATATAGTAACGTACTGGCAGGACTGTTGATACTGATCCATAACAGAAAACG